TATTGGGAAAATGACGACTGATCTAAAAGGATTAGGCAAGCAAATTTATCTGCATGTGTACAAATTGGACCCGGAAACTACTGTAGAAAAGTTACAGGAAACAATAAAGCCCACTTTTCCTGAAGCAATAGTCGAAAAATTGACTTCCATGTATCCAAATTTTTACTCATCATTTAAAGTAACTATAAAACAGGAAAACTTGGAATCAGCATATAATCCAGAATCATGGCCAGAGGGAGCATGGGTAAACAGGTTTTTTCACCGGAAAAGGACCATGGAGTTATCAAAGTAGTGCCAAAAAAGACATTAGCTATAAATACTGAGAGAGAAACGGTAAGTCTCTTCCATATAAACATATGTAGTCTCCAGAATAAGGTAGATGAACTATCGCTTTTTATTGGTAATTATGACTTTGGTGTGGTCTGCATATCCGAAGTTTGGTTAGAAAAAAACTTATTGGAAACAATAAACTTAAATAATTATACACTAGCAAGCAGTTTCTGTAGGAATAAGAAAACACATGGGGGGGTGTCAATATTCATAAAACAGAATATAAATTTTAAACTTATAGACATTAGCCATTATACTATCGAGTTCCACGCAGAATTCTGTGCATCTTACATTGAAGCCATAAACTCACTTGTTGTGTGTTTATACAGGTCTCCCGATGGCGATTTCAATATGTTTCTTGAGGCTTTGGAAAGGCTACTGATCTATGCCTCTAGTAATTTTCATAATATTGTGGTTCTAGGTGACTTCAATATTGACTTTAAGAAAAATTCTTTATGCCAAACTGAATTGGCTAATTTAATACACTCCTTTAACTTAAACATCTGTATTTCAGATTTTACACGAGTAACAAATCACTCAGCAACGTGTATTGACAACATACTTACAAATCTGGACGATGGATTTGAGACGGGGGTTGTCGACCCAACCATATCTGACCATAAAGGTCAATTCATAAACATACAAACAAAAACAACAATTTCTTTAAATCCAGTATGGAGAAGATCTTACACAAAAAAATGTTTAAAGAAGTTCAAAGTTGATCTTAAAAAAATTGACTTGGGCTTTTTTGAGGATGGTAGGTACTCAGCTGAATATCTGTCTGAGTGTTTGGTATCAGAGTACAAAACTCTAATAGAAAAACATTTTCCCCTAAAAAAATGTCTTCAACAACTTAAACCACCAGTTAAGTGGTTTACAAAATCACTCAAAAGCATGAGAGAGACGCTTTCCTGTCTAAAACTCATTGCAGAAGTTACATGCAACGCAGTGGATAAAAAAGCATATACAAATTTTAAAAGTATGTACATACATGAAATCAAGAAGACAAAAAGGGATTCCTATGATTTATTTATTTCAAATTCGAGAAACAAGTCAAAGGACTGCTGGAGACTTGTCAATCATGAACGAAATAAAGTAAAATCCACTAAAATAAATGAGTCTATACCTCCAGACACTTTTAATAACTTCTTTGCCACTGCGGCTGAACAAATCATAAAATCGCTACCAAACGCTCAGACAAATGGTGCTAGTGACATCCTCAGGGACGCTTTAAAAAATAAGGGTCCAAAATCATTTTTTATGGCACCTGTAACTTCACAAGAGGTTAGAAAAACCATTGGAAGATTGAAAAACTCAGGTAGTATAGATATACATGACATAAACTGTGTATTGATCAAGGAGACAGCCGATATTATTGCTGATCCTTTGGCTAGTCTTTACAATAAATGCTTAACAGAGGGGGTCTTCCCCACCTTATTTAAAATATCTAAAATAACCCCGGTTTTCAAAAAGGGTGAAAAAAGTTCGGTCGACAACTACCGCCCCATATCCATCGTCCCCTATTTTGGGAAAATATTTGAAATTATTATTAAGGAAAGGTTTTACCAATTTTTGGAAAAAAACAAATTTTTGAGTAGCTGTCAGTTTGGATTTAGAAAAAATAGCTCAACTTTTGATGCTGTTTTTAAAGTTGTTCGCCATATAGTTGAAGGCATTGAGAGAGGGGATTATGTCACCATAACGCTCCTAGATCTCTCGAAGGCATTCGATTGTGTGTCCCACACAGTCCTTTTGGAGAAGTTGAGTCTCTATGGCGTAAGAGGAATTCCTTTATCTCTATTTAAATCATATCTCACAAATAGGTATCAGTGTGTAAGTATAAATAACAAATTATCAAGTATGAAATCGGTGAAGCATGGGGTGCCCCAGGGCTCAGTAATAGGTCCCCTTCTCTTCATTCTTTACGTCAATGATCTCTTTCATTATATGCTTCCTGATCATTGTTTTGCCTTCGCAGATGATACAACTACCATTAATAGTCAAAAGAGCCTGGACGGAGCTCTTCAGCTTAGTCTAAAAAGTGAAATTAAAGCACGAGACTGGTTTTCTCTAAATAATCTTAAAATGAACACCACAAAGACCCAGAGACTCACCTTTTCCACAGGGATTACTCTAGAGAATCGCAAGAGAGTGCAATTATTGGGCATCACTCTTGACAACAGACTGGACTGGTCTTGCCATGTAAAGCAGCTATGCAAAAAGTTGTCTTCCACAGTTTTTATTCTAAGACAAATAAAAAAGTCTGTCTCGTTTAGCATCTTAAAAATGACATATTTCTCTCTATTTCATTCGCATTTAAGTTATGCGACGATTCTCTGGGGAAACTCCAGCTATGCTGTTGCAGCCTTCCGTCTTCAAAAGAGGGCTATTAGACTATTATGTAATGTGGGAAACAGAGAAAAATGTCAACAGCTTTTTATAAAAATAGGCGTAATGCCCTTACCAACACTTTACATATATTTGACATTATTAAAAATACATAGAGAAAAGGATCAATTTACTTGCGGCGGAGATATTCACAGTCACGATACTAGGGGCAAATCACAAATCAGAATTCCAAAATATAGACTCTCCAAAGTGTCGAGAAACTCACTAAACATTAAATTATACAACCTATTACCCTCAAGATGCAAGGCTCTCAACTATATAAAATTTAAAGCAACCATAAAGGAAACCTTGCTCACTTACTGTTTTTATTCTGTAGACGAATATGTCATGAAAATGGGTCTTTCAGACTTTCATCAGCGTTTCTCTCTCAATTAAACTCTGTGATAATATGTATATGTAATGTGTATGCTGTAACTTGTATGTTGTATGCCTTATGTTATTTACATATTTATGTATATATGATATATTTATGTTATATTTATTTTATCTTGACTTGCCAAAAATGTTAAATGTAAACATAATGTGGCCAAATAAATGATTTGATTTGATTTGATTTGAAAAAACAAAAATTCCCGATATTTTTTGAACACACCTCGTACGTCAAATTAATAATATTTAACTTAACGGTATAGCATTTTAAATACTAAAACTAAAATTATAGATATATATAAAACACACTATTATTTGACATTTTATTGTCTTTTATTTTAATTATTGAAATGGTAAGAAAGTAAACAAGTTTCGGTATAAAAATTATCTTTTACTATAATTTGATATTTTTATCCTCATTAAGCCCACAAAATTGCATAATTTTGCTTAAAGGGCAATCCGACTTCATGAAAATTTAATTTTTTCCCTGTTTTTCAATCTTAAATTTATTAAATCGTACGAATTAATTAATTGAATTATAGTATTAATGTGCTTAATCCTTGTTATCGTCGTACGTCTTTGCTGAAAATTACAGCAAATGTCTCCTAGCAATGAATCCAACTTATTTCCGCTATACCCAGGGCCGGATTAAGCATGGGGCCAGCGGCGCCACGGCCCCAGGGCCCCCACCATTTAGGGGCCCCCACCATGCAATGAAACGAATATGAAAAAAATTGTCGAAAAAACAAAAATTGGGTCGGTTATACAGCGCGAATTCTGTAATTTTCAACTAATATTTCGCAGATCTATTTTTTCGCGGATTTTTTATCGCTTATCTAATATTAAAGTTAGTTTTTGTCCCAGATTTTTATTACATTGGAGTGTTTTGGAATATTTTCCGGTGTTTCCGAAATACTGTTTCGTGCTTTTCTTTGGACAAAATATTGTTTTATTGTTTGATTTTGTATGCAGATAATAACACGTGTCCGAAAATGCTTCATTATCGAGATACAGGGTGTTTCGTTTAAAAAAAAATGAATTTTTTATTTATAGCTTAAAAACGCTTTGGCCGATTTTATTAAGATTTATATGGTTTATTAAATAATGAATGATTCAAAGATAATAAAAAATCACGTAAAAAATTAACCATGAGTTTTAGTTTCCCATGGGAAACTTGAAAGTGTCAAAATTGAGGGCCCCCACCAAATGTCGGCCCCAGGGCCTCAAAACTCTTAATCCGGCCCTGGCTATACCATATAATTAGATAATTTTAATTTTCAAGTATGTGTTTCGCATAACTTTCGGCACGTTCCTTTTTTCTCTGTGGCGCCGTTCTGGGACACCCTGTATATTATGTGTATGTTAAAACAAAATATAGGTAATACTAAATTATATAAGTATCTATTATAACTATAACTATAGTTATTTATTTGTCATGTTAGAAATATCAAGAATTTTTTAATAGGAGCCACTTAGATATTACTTTTAATTTAAGGCAACATTTCCTTATTTTATTTTGTTGTAAAATAAACATCTTTACTACTTTATTTAAGTTTTAATGATCTAATATAATTTTTTTAGGGATCATAACTTTTTATAAAATTAATAATAAAAATGTTTTCCATATGTAGACCATTTAAACAGACACACTGTAGACCGGTCCCAATATTTTCTCGTATTTAGTTTCTTACAGACCACAATAACTCAGCCTTATTTGAAGCAGTCGCAATTTAACTCGCCAAGCAGACAAGCATTCGCTATAGCTACACTGCATGGGCACGAAATATATGTTGCGCCAAGCCGTCGCGCCGGCCGAGCGACCGCGGTCACAAAAACGCCGCATTGAAACAGCGCGGCGTCACGGGGTACGCGCGTCAGCCAACGACAACAACGTCGGGCCACGCTACTGGTCGGCGACGATGACGCGCGAGCACAGGCGACCCGATCGCGGCAGTCGTTGCAGTGCAAGCGTCAAGCGCGTTGTCAAAAATGTCAGCGTTATTGCCGAAAACGTTGAAAACCATCAATTCCCTGGATTTGATCGAAGAAGTCAAGAAACGTCCGACTATTTATGATTACAAAGGGATTCCGAACAGCGCGGATATAAGGAAAAAAAAGTGGGAAGAGATTGGGCATGCGCTGTACGATGAACTGTGGACGCAGCTCGGCGAACGTGAAAAGGAGTGTTTAGGTAAATTCAAGGTTAAGGTTTGGCGCGTATTTTTTCATCCTAATTACATTTTGTCTCTTTCAAGACACAAGTTTATAATGTCTGTAACAACCATTTAACAGTTTTTTTATAAAGAACTCCTTTATTTACATTAGAGACCATTGGAGGATCTCTTATTTACATTAACTTTACTTACCAGCATAAAAAAAGTTAATGAACTGTCAATTTTTTGCTAAAATGCAAAGTACTTAGTTATTTTTGAGCTTTTGGTTAGGTAGGTAGGTATTTCTGTTTTTTGCATTCTGCTTTATAACCATTTCATTTATCTTAACAAAAGTATTTTTTTAATTTTATGCAACTAGTTATTTATTATTCATTATTGTAACATTGAGAATAGGTATAACAAATACTATTATAATTACTATTTGATTAAAATATTGTTAATTTATAAATTTTACAAAGCTATTACTTATATAAGTAGGTTTACTTTATAAATATTAAATTATTAACATTAATATTTATTTATTATAATTTTAGTAAAACAACATTTTAAAAATTACTTAATAGTAATTAAAAATGATTAAATATTGATGTAGTACGTGTGTTATTTGTTATAATATGTATATTATAGTGTATTATGTATCAAGTTTTATAAACGCCATTTTAGTTACGAGTTTAATTAGGCGCGAGCGAAGCTTGCGAGCGAGTGTTAATAAAACGAGTTTTATACTATATATACTTTATCTATGACTAACATAAAAAAGATATTAAAGCCAATTTTATTTGTTTACCATTTAACATCTGTCAACTTTAAAGAGATTTAACCTCACTTTTTCCTAATTTATAATAACTTCAGCCCGTGACTAAATTGCCCAGAAGCAGTTAATAAAATATTTTATATTTAAATTTTGAAGAAAAGGAAATCCCATATTTATGAACTACATTGGCGGATAAGCAATTTCGAAAATTTAAACTGCCTTTATGGACAACTAACCCTACTTTCGGATATCACTATTCATTTTGACAAGGAAAGCAAATATGGTCATATCATAAGATATAATAGTTTTCTCGATTTTTATGTAAGAATGTCATATTCTCGCACGCAAAATCGTTGAAGAATGAAGCTCATTCTTAAACGATTTTTGGTAACATTTAGTTTTTAAGTATTGGTACCCCCAAAATGTCAAACTGATTAATAACCTCAAATTCATTACTTTTATTGAAAATGAAGCCTTTATTATTGTTTTTGTAATATTAAGTTTGCTCCAACAATGCATTTTAATGCAAAATTTTAAGTTGAATGTAAAAAAGTGCAGTTCAGGTTGTACTTGTGCAGGATAACAAATATTGTCATTTTGTGTTGCCAACTGACATTTTGCGAGAAAAATCCCCTAACTAACAACGACCACAAAACAATTAAAAAAACCTAAATAAAAGTTAAAATCGAGAAAATAGTATAAATCACACGTTGCAGAAGGCTATTCTCGCACTCATTCGTTCGTCCACTCGCTCCTTCGTCGCTCGAGGCCAAATTTCGAATTCGTGCGAGAATATGTGGCCTTCTGCAACTTGTACTTTAATATACTATTTTCTCGATTTTTATGTAAGAATGTCATATTCTAGCACGCAAAATCGTTGAAGAATGAAGCTCATTCTTAAACGATTTTTGGTAACATTTTGTTTTTAAGTATTGGTACCCCCAAAATGTCAAACTGTTTAATAACCTCAAATTCATTACTTTTAGGATTATTTATAATAGCTTTGCTTGTTATCCTGCACTAGTGCAACCTGAACTACACTTTTATTGAAAATGAATCCTTTATTATTGTTTTGTAATATTAAGTTTGCTCCAACAATGCATTTTAATGCAAAATTTTAAGTTTAATGTGAAAAAGTGTCCAAGATAACAAATATTGTCATTTTGTGTTGCCAACTGACATTTTGCGAGAAAAATCCCCCAACTAACAACGACCACAAAACAATTAAAAAAACCTAAATAAAAGTTAAAATCGAGAAAATAGTATAAATCACACGTTGCAGAAGGCTATTCTCGCACTCATTCGTTCGTCCACTCGCTCCTTCGTCGCTCGAGGCCAAATTTCGAATTCGTGCGAGAATATGTGGCCTTCTGCAACTTGTACTTTAATATACTATTCTATTGCGTATTATTGACATAATTTGGGTTTTTTCGTAAATAATGGTAACCAGGCCCAGCCTAACAACGTTAATAATGAGTTCAATTTTCACGTTGCTAGGCATCAGTGATTGGCTGATTTCACTGTTATTTGAACCAATCGGGTTTTAAATTGGGAAAAAGTAAGGTTAACAGATGTCAGATTTGTTTATATATACGAGTGGCGACTATAATGATCTTTAAAATCGGGAAAAAGTGAGGATGTAATAAATGTTGTTATCAATGAAAATAGTAGAAAAAGCATAGTTTTACACTTGAAATAATGCGCATTCTTTACTCGGATGAGTAAATAATGCATTATCTCTCGTATAATAATATACTATTGTCTTTACTATTTTTCTGTTTTTCAAGTGAAATTTTATTAAAAATATGTATATTTAGGCAGTATTTCAGTATTTTAAGTGAAAATTGTAGTTTAATGGGCCTGGCTATCGATACTATCTATACTTTTAAATTTCATAAAAGGCATTTTACATCCTAAAAAATACTAACATATCGAACGGTAATTTCTTTCCAGTTTTTACTAGGTACTATTTTCATACGTCTATGAAACTGAACAGCCATTAGATGTTTCTTAAGAAATTTTTGGCCCTAATCCTAAAACTGCAGTTTCAGGGGGTGTTTCTATAAATTTGAGATATTTTATAGCAAATTTCAAGAAATACCCTCCAGGTCAGTTTTTAAAGATAAATGATTTAGCAACGTTTGCTAATTAGAATATTATGTAGAAAAAATATAAATATTTGTTTCACTAAGCAGGTCTCGTTATAACTATATTTCTGTAACAAAAATATGTTCCGGTTGAATAGATCTGTTCGTCATTGTGCATTCAACTACGTAATGAATTATTTTTTAGTTAAGGAAATCCAAATTAAGTGGAAATCATTGAGAGACAACTATACCAGAATCCTTAGAAAAGAAAAAATAGATGAACTAAATGGCGTCAATAATCCTAAGAAGAAGAAATACATTTACTATGATCAACTGATGTTTTTGGAACAATACTGCTTTTCAAAGTAAGTAAATAAGATAGGTCTATTATAGCCCAATTGAATTTTGAATCTTTATATTTAAAATTTTAGACCAACTCCCAAAATAGTATACGTGGACGAAATCCAAAATAGCAACGACAGCAACTTTGACAGCAACTCCTTCGAATGCGAGGAAAATACTTTGCCTCCTGGGATGCAACAGGTTCAATTCATACAAATCCAACCAAGTCCATCCGTTTCTGTTTCTTCAATAAAACAAAGCCCATCATCTACAAAAGTTGACGAAGATGGCAATACAAGGATCGCCAAGATTTTAGAGGAGATGGTTAACGTACAAAAAGAAGACAAAAACGACGATCCAATGGGTAATAAGAAGTTTTTACTGTCTTTGCTACCGTTCATGAAAAAATTACCTGATGATCTTAATTTGGAAGTCCGACTGCAGATAATGAGCGTCATTCAGAGCTACAGTGCTGGAAAATTTGTGTGATTATGTTTGTTACTTAAAAATGTTATAAGTATATTTTGATAAATAAATATCCTATTTTCTATTTTAGTATAATAATAAAAATATTGTCTAGCCAAGATCTAAGTTAATGCTAGGTTGACAAAAATAATTACATTGACTTAATTGGGTTTACGTGTTTATAAAGAAAGCAGAAAATCTACACAAAACTGATTATTACCTTTGTGTAATATTTAAATGTGTATAATTTTGCGATTTAATTATGTGTTACGCGCGTATAATCCACCATCAAATCATTAATAGTCTTAATTTGACATTTACCTCACCGGAGCAGTAAAGAGTTTCTAATTTTATAAATACACGAACATAAAAATTTTAATTGCTTATGGTGTGCTGCTACCTAGTATGTACCTACACATTACCTGATTGCACTTACACAATTCTTGTAAAATTTGTTAAAACAAATTATACCATCAATAAAACCGGAAAAAAGTACCATTAATTTCATAGGCTTAGGCTCACAAAAAAATGACGTGACAGCGGGCGAAAATACATATAACTCTATTTTTTTAATGTTTTACATTGCGTCATCAATTTGTGAACCAAGCACAGACATTACACGGGTGCACGTCATCAACGGCATATGACGTCAGCGTTAAGGTCTATTCATACGTGCCCAGACACAATCTAACGCTCGTGTATTGTTGACTGTTTATAGCGGTGGGGGTTGTTTATTAAGATGGAATTATAATCATCATTGTTATAATCTTCTACACTAACTAATTAGGAGTTTGTTACAGGCAAATTTCGATTAAATGTGTTTAGAGAGGAAACAAACGGAGTTTATTACATGTACAGTTACGGAAAATAGTAATGTCCATTTACATATTTAACCCTATTTTTATTAAATCGTTAATTTTTTTGATATATTTTTTATAGTTTTATAAAATTTATACATTTATTTTATGAAGAAACTTTTAAAAAGAACTTTTTAGGCTAAAAATAATATTATCAAGTTGTAGTTTTTTAAGACTTACTTTAAATTTTTGAGAACTAGCAATGATTGAATGCACTATAATGGAATAATTCTACATCATAGGAATAAAAAACTCATTTTATTACTTGTTGCACGTTAATGTGTTAAAATTAAAAGAATATATTTAGAATTTTTACATTTGGTATATTTTTAAATTAAATATATTAGGATTTATCAAAAAACGTTTGATATAATTATAATAACATATCTATGAAACTATCTAAAAAAATGTAAGCTCTTAATATTAAATTTACTAGTCCCTCATCAGGAATTTCTATTTTCCATTAAAATAACATGAGATTTTTTTAAAATACTTTGAAATTGTATAACTCGTCAACGTATTAGTGGACTCATAAAACTGAAACAAAATTTTGTAGGGAATTTTTCAGTATCATGGTATTCCCAAAAGGTGTGGACCCAATTTGGTCAAATATTATATTATTATTTAAAAATAGTCTATGTGCCATGCAAAACGACTTTATAAATATTCCAACTCCAACTACTACTAGTTTCATTGATTACTCACAATGTTATTTTTGGCACTTGGACCCTTTGGGAATACCAAGTTTCAATTATTATAATAATTATAAATTTGTGCCGTTTTCATATTTTATTGGATTTTTATACATTGAAATAAGTTGGTATTGGGCAGTTATTTCATAAAACAAATAATGAAAATTAAATTGTTGAAAAACGTATTAAAAGTTGACAACTGTCAAATAACTTTAAACTAACTTAAGCCCGTGACTAAAAACCTGTTGCTAACTTCAGCCCGTGACTAAAGCGCCGTAAAGCCACAACTTGTCAATGTGTATTTAAAGGTCAGGTCACTTATTGTCATGGAAACATGTACGATAAAGGGCGTTTTAAAGGTGGGAGTAGAAAGAATACATTAAAGAGGGTTATCAACAATTTTATTTGCAAAATTATGCAAAAGTTTATAATTATTTTAGTAATAAATGTCTATATATTTCATTTAAATATATTATTTTATTAATAACAACTTAATTAATAAATTAAATAACATGTAGGTTATTTAATAAATTATATTTAATAAATTATAGAATATATATTATTATTATAAATAGTAGTTAGGTAGAACTTTTGCTTGTTTAAAAAATAATATTCCCATTAAAATTTTTTAAATCAAATGTACTGGGTGCTCAGAAATTAAGAAAGTTTAGCTAGCGAAAATACATTGTGGGTCTGTTAAAAAAATAAATATCTTATACAATTTTTCTATAATAAGGGTACTTCTATTTTGAAGCATTTTCATGTTTTTATAATTTCTAAGGACCCTGTACATTTCATTACATTTTTTATGAGGATATTATTTTTTAACAATCCGGAGTTTTTATAAAGAATTCCTTTTTTCGTAAAACGCATTCTCATGTTTTCTTAGTTTCTGAGCACCTGTACCTTTGGTTCAAAACTTTTAAATGGAAATCTCGTGTAAGGGCTAAAGTCCAGATTCAGTTTCAGCGCTCGAAAATACATAGCGCAGACCACTGGTTTTTTTGTGGGCCTGTGATATTAATAAATATTTTGTTTTAAAATATTCTGCCTACAAACAAAATAATTCCAAAACGCGTTAAAGTGTTCCTCCATCATATGCAATTTTTAATTCTGCCTACACTGAAAAAAAATATTACATTTAAATGTAAACTTACAGGATTATTACCACATAAATTCCTCATTTTTACGACAAATTGTAAAATTACCTTTATTTTCGTCTAATTTTTATATAATTCAAGTAAATAAACATTTTTGTTTCTAAAATTACTAATGTTATGTATTAATTATTTATACAACAAGTAAATTTAACGAACTAAATGTAAAAAATACAATTATAACTTTTTACTGCATTATTTCAAATGTAAATATACTTTATTAGTCTTAATATTACAAGTTTAAATGTTTTTTTTACATTCGGAGTGTAGTAAAAATCGCAAAATTACATTTCATATGTAACCGGAGAAGAAGCCTATTGGCTGGGAATTCGCGCATGCCTGCCCACGCATCGGCATGTTAATGTTATCATGTATAAATACATTTCAAATAAAAAACATATTACATTAAAAATGTTATTTTACATAAAAAATATAAATGAGTTACACGTCATTTATGCTATTACATTTTGCATGTAAAATAATAATGAAATGGAATAGTTATCAACAAGGTATCAAAATAACCAATCTCCATTACCGGAAATTTACATGATTTTTCTTTTAGTATACGACTTCTATATAAAGTTCAGAAATGACCTTGTAAGACGTATACGTATAAATCTGTTATTGGGCGAGCCTTTTTTGTTGAGATTTTAAACCTATTATATTGATAAATCCGCTGAGCGAAGTGTACTCTTGTCCGCTTAAACCATAGACAAACTCTCGTGTAGATATCGGCGGGATGGAGCCGGTCGGACGGCTGTTTGCGGCGTTGCAACGCGTTGGGGCAGCCACGGTCGCGAGATACAGGATATCTTGTATCGTATCGTTTTGAAAAATAATAAAAAGGACGGGCAAGCGACTGCGACTGGACCGCTAGCCTCAGCACCGACATCACATACACTTGATAAGACGGCTGTGAAAAGGCCAGAGAGCAACGATACGAACGGAGATAAGATTGATACCAGGAAATATTTTCCGTAGGGAAATGAAAACAGACACATTTATTATGTGAATAAGTATTATTGGAATGTGTTCTTTAACAATTTTGTTTGTCGGTAAAAAGTCTTAAAAGATTTTTTATTTTATATTAGTAGCATAGTATGTTAGTAGATAAATTAGTGTAAGGAATACAAACTTTTATTTTAGATCTTAAAAAATAAGCAATGATCAAAACAAATTTGTTGATAGACAAAGATTGCTTCCATAAAAAATGGAATAAAAAATTCACTGTTTTGTTTTATACCGAAAGTTTTTTAAAGGTAATATGCAATTTTGTAAGCATTTTGTTAATTTCAAAGGTTACAGATTATTTTCTCAATGTTTAACAAATTATTTCTTTGAAAAGTACACGTGATTTCAGGCAAAACATTTCCCACTGACAACCCATCAACAAGTTCAACTGACTTCAGCGTCTGCAACTTATGTTTCTGCTTATTTTATTCTAATTCGTAACGTGTTTGTAACAACTGTTTAAAATATATTATTAGAAATATGTTATTATTGTTATTCGGATTCCTTATACCTATTAAATGAGTCTGCAAAGTGCGAAGTATCCGAAAAAAGATGCCATCATTGGTTTTCAAACTAAAATTAGGGGATACAGTGAAGTGGGTTAAAGTTACGAAATACATCAGTAAGTGTTGTAGGAGTACGGATAAATATATTGTACCAAATTTCTTTATAATTTAATGATTTCAGAATGGTGTATTATTTAATTGTGTGTGTTATTTTTGTGTTCATTTATGTGGGTATGTGGTAATTTTTTGTTTAGGAAATTGATTAATAAAGCTACATTTTTATAATAGTATATTATGTATCAAGTTTTATAAACGCCATTTTTGTTACGAGTTTAATTAAGCACGAGCGAAGCTTGCGACGAACATAAATAAGAATTTAAAGCCAATTTTTATTGTTAAACATTTGACATCTGTCAACTGTCAACGGATTTAACCTCACTTTTTCCCAATTGGGTGGAGTAGATAAAAATTATTTTCATTTAAGTTCCCAATTTTCAACACATACTTTTGTTACTGGGCCTACAAGAAGGTTTGTTGAATTATTGATATAGGATTTTGTTATTAAATCTACAAAATGTTTGTTATAATTACATACAATTTATTCAATTAGTTAACAGATTACAATTGGATTTAAACTTAAGTTATGTGGACCTAGATTAACATAAAATTTTGTTAAAATTAATAAATTAACAACAATTTAACAACGTTTTTAAATCCAAAACTGAGGTTTTAGGGGAACTTTTTTATTCGATTATTATTCTTAATTACATTATTTCTGGGCATTCTTTATAAATAAACTGAAGACGTAAAATATAAATCATAAAAAATATTTTAAGTTTGGATCGAT